CTCTGTGCAAATATCGAGGGCTCTTGCTATCTGCCTTTCCAGAGGCCTATGGCCAGGACAACCTGGCCAGGCTTGCAGAGCACTGTGCTGGGGAATGGGCTTACTAGAAATCACCCAGGGCTGGGCAACTTTTTGGGTCTATGCAAGATGCTCAAGACATCTGAGGAAATGCACACGTCTGGCCCGCGTGACTGCTGCCCTCCAGCTCGGGGTCCTGGTCGCTGCTTGAAGCTCAGGGAGCTGCAGCTGTTTTTTCTTCTCCTTCCCCTGCTGCCTCCCCGCTCTTCTCCATACCGGGCTTGCAGTGGCCTGCCCTGGAAGCACGGCCTCAGCGGCCACTCCGCAGAACTAGAGAATGACAGAGCAGAGGCTTGTCTAGCCTTGTAACAGAAGCAAATCATGTGCTGTGTGTCATAAAGGCCATCATTTCACCCGTAAAAACAGTAACTGTTCTGCTCTGGGAAATGGGTGTTTCGCCCCGGGGCTGGTGGTGTGCGAAGCCCAGCTGAGGCGAGCAGCACAGAGTGACAGCGCAGCCTGGGCCTCTCTTGGCAGCTGTTTTTATCTCTGTGGGTGACAGAAAGGCTTGACGTGTTCCATGTCTGCCCTGCTCTTGTCAGAGCACAGCTGCACCGGAGCCGCTGGACCTCAGAGGAGTCTGAGGGCACTCGGATGGGCGCAGGAGGAGAAGCCGCTCTGTGAGCATCGTGTCACTTCATTTGTTCTTGATGGCTCTTAGCGGGGAACCCGTGCCCACGACCTGGAGAACTGTCTTGAGGCAGCCACGACCAGAGACACAGCCGCCCCGAGGATGGTTTCCCAGGGCTGAGGAAATCCCTTGTGCACTTGCCCGTGCTTTTGGGGCGGCTCTCGGGCGCCCTTTCTCACACTGGCGGCAGGGAGCTGGCGCTGCGCCTCGCGTGCGCTGCTTCGTGGGTGCAGTGAGGACCATGGGGCGCCCGGCCGGGGTGCTCCGTGTGCCCCCGGCACCGGGCCGCCCGTGCCCTGGGGCGCCAAGGCCTGGTGCCTCCGTGCGAGGGAGACAGAGGTTAAGGAGGATGTTTTCACACAGCTAGACGTGGAGGGTGGAGCGCTCTGCGTCAGTGACTTCCTTGATGGGACCGTGCTGCTCACGAGGGCCGTACCCGCAGCAGGGCCCGCTTACGGGCAGATCTGCCCATGGGGCACATCGTAGCCCTGCAGCGGCCCTTAGGCAAGCGGAGGGAATGAAAAGAGTTCAGGGAACCCAAAGCAAAGCGACAAACTGCAAACCCACAATATGCTGAGTAGATGACTACTGCCATACAGATGCATGACAGAGGATCCATGCACTGCAGTAATGTGAAATATAGCAAATGTGACACTGAAGAAAAGCGCATGGAAGGAAAATAAAGAATGAGAAAAGCAATTCAGAGTCGATATCATGTCACTTCAGAGGATGCCAGCAGGTGGATCACCCATTATGGATGAAAATGTTACCAGAGTTCAAAGGTAAATCTTTGATGAACGCTTTGGTGCCTGAGCATGGGAAATCCCACCTGAGCTCTGCCTTCGCACCACAAGTACATTCTCTGACTGCGGACCTGCTCCTGTATTGCCACTAGCATAAAAGTGTTAACTTGGGTAACATATTCTGATAGTACTGAAATATGCAGATTCATATAAGGATGACAAAATGCACTTCTTGCATGTAATTGCCCTACTGCGTATAACTCACAAACATATTTTCTGCCAGCTTTGACGTTAGCGTGACTTCCTGAGCTATGCTGGAGAAAGCCAGCTCGCTTCTTGCTGCTGAATCTTCTCACTTCTGATGTTTTCCAGTCATCCTATTTGCTGCTGTTATAGCAAAGCAAACCATGTGCTACCCGCAGATGTTACTCATATTTACTCATGTTGTCATTTAGTCTTTCTTTTTAGGTTACCGCATACTATTTCCTGCAAACCTCACAGTGAAAGAGGCTGCTTAGACCTACCATGAGTTAAAATGAAATGCTGGGTCTCGCCACAGCAGGCTCGGAGAACCCAGCAGGCACTGGAAAAACCAGCACCAATCCTGCACAGCATGGAGCACACAGTCCGTGATGCTGGGAATGCGCCTGCAAAGACATCCCCGGCTCTTCCCAGTGCAGTGATTCGGCTGACAGGCAGCGGCGAGGCAAAGGTGAGCGACCATTTCTCACGTCCCAGGCTTGGAACAGGAACTGTGAGAAGGCAGAGGGCTTGCTCAGGTGCGGGGCTGCGAGCGCAGCCTCCCGCACCGCTGGGAAGGGCCGGGAGGAAGCGGTCCGGGTCCAACGGGCATAGCGCAGCGGGAAGCATCCCGCGCGCGTGCTTGCGGCTTGGGGAAAGGCTGAGATAACTTCAGAATTAACTGAATTTAGCCTAGTATTTAGGCTTACATTACTACTTTGCTTCTGTTCTGGAAAAACTTTGTATTAGTAACAGAAATATTGGAAGCAAATAACTATTTTAAGCGTGTCCTATTAGGTGATTCTGTGGGTTACCTCCTACCCATACTATTGTGTTCATGTTAAGATTGTTGTAACGACTACTTAAGGAAGCCAGGTTAAATTTCCAGGCGTTTTCTCAGGAAACAGACTTTTTGCTCTGAGATACAGTCTGCTGCTTAAGCACTGAAGTCCCCGGCGCTGGTGACCGAATGTTTCGCCCGTGCTGGTGAAACCAGCCGCGAAGGCAGCACCGCTCTGACAAGGGCCGGGT